ATATATATATATATATATATATATATATATATATATATATATATATATATATATATATATATATTTAATCAATAAAAGTTAAATTTTGAAATTACAAGAATTAAAAAAATGTATTTCCTGATTGTCATTCTTCTTTTCAACGACAAATAATACAATATTGGAAAGAAAAAATGCAAAAAAAGCAAAAAATTGAAAAATTTCTGATTTTAAATTTAAAAAGAAACTTAAAAATTAGCATTTTAAAGTGAAAAATTAGATTATTTTCTCCCTTATTTACAACTGAAAAGAAATGTGTTACATAGCTAAATTGCGCTTTAAAATTTAAATTTTAAAAATTACAATACAAATTAAATCAAAAATTTGCATTATTCATGAAACGTTGAAATAAATTGAATCGTTTGTTATCATTATTATCAAACAAAACAAATGTTTTTAAATTGAATCAATGATCAGATGATATGAATTTACAATGTCTATGTAAGTTAAGGAAATTTTTTTTTGCAATGATTATTGGTGATAATTAAGATTCTCATCAATGATTAATTGCGATTATTGTTAGTGTCACCATTTTTACGAAAAGAATAAAAAAGAGCAAAAGATATCCTTTGATGTTACCGATAATTGTCGAAATTCTTTTTAAATATTTTCTGGGATTATTAATCAAGCAAGTTGATGAAAGTTTTTGTTAAATGACAAATGAAACATGAAAGTATGGTGACAAAATATTTAATCATTTAGTAAAAAAAATTCCTTTTAAAAAACGAAAAAGATTTAATAATTACGATTAGAATAGATCAACGAATTGAACTAATCAATAATTTCAGTTATTCAATTTATTTATTTGTCTACTTATTTTTTGGGTTATATGTTAATCATCGTTAATTTGATATTGAATGTTTACATTTCTTTCTTTTTCTTTTTATGTTTCGCTAAGATTTAGAAATGAAAAAAAATGAATTCCGACAAAATATGAGAACAGATTTTCAAATCACAATTGGTAATGGAAGAATTAAATGTTGACCTATTAGAAATTGTAAAATAATACCAAATAAATCCATAATTTGATTCTAAGAAAATGGAATAAAAATGATTTTTCAGTTATAATTGGAAATATTGAAATTAATTATTTAATCTATTGGAAATTGTAAAATAATATCAAACAAGCCTGCAATTTCATCCCCAAAAAAAAGAAAGAATTATACGTATTAATAATAAAAAATAAAATTTAAAAAAGGAAAAAGAACGGAAGGAAAGAAAAGTGAAAAAGAATTAAACATTATAAGATAAACAACAAATATATAAAGTTGAATTTTATTGTACAGAGAAAAGGAAGAGAGAGACAGAGAGAGAGGGAGAGAGAGAGAATTAGAAAAAAATTTTAGTTTACATAAGACATTCATAAATTTTCAAATTTCATATTATATCTTAAAGATGAGAATGTGAAAATGGAAAAATTGAATGATGAAAAGAAAAAAAGGACGAAAAGTGGAAAGATTGAGTAAGCATTTAAATTGTCCTCATGGGATTTTAGCATTGCTTATTATGCTAACAAGTTCAATTCACAAACTAGTCAGGGAGTTTCAGTAGTTGTTATATTTACTAATCACATATGCTGTTTAAGTTAAACAGAAATTTAAAAGTCAACACCGAAATTTGAAATATCTCGGAATACTGGTATGCTATATATATGAAGCATTTTTTAAGTGAGGTAAATTCCTGCAGTACAACAAAGGTCATATAGGTCAAGTAGTGTTTCAACTATTTCCGCAACTTTCAATAGGTTAAATAGATTAAGTTACGCTTCAACTATGTCATCATCAACATTATCAATATTTTTGTTGTAATAATAAATGTGAAAAAATTGCAATACAGGAAATGTGTTAAATATCACAACAAGAAATGTACTGTTTAAGTTGAATTGTTTAATCTAATTAATTAATAATTATAATAATGCTACAGAGATCAACTATGGTAATCAGTATCATACAATGGTACCTGAAATGATAATAACCTTGATCACTTCCAAATATTGCAATGATATGCAAAGATACAGTAATGGATAAATGCGCCAAATAATTACATTCCATTTCATACAAGAGATATTATGGCTGTTTAAAATTTTTGAAATGAATAAATAATTTAGAGAGAGAGAGAGAGGAGGAGAGAAGGAGAGAGAGAGAGAGAGATAGAAGAAATAAAAATAATAATAATAGTAATAGAAATATGATTCGATCATACAACGAAGAAAACAAAAGGAAATCGAATCTTTGAATCGAATTAAAATCTCAGCTAGGCTTATGTTAATTTCATTAATTAATCAATGCTTAAAAGATTAAGAGCCTTTTTTTTTAATCAGAATTATTCAAAATAAGTAAAATAAATTGTCACCGATTCATAACAATTTTTTAGCATTATTTCTACTTTTGTCAACAATTTTTCAACATTATTTCAAACTTTTTTGACCTCTTAAGATCGTATTAAGTATCATTTGAATCATTTGAACTTCAACCTTTCACCATTATTTCAACCTTTTCCAACCTTTCAACCTTTTATCATTATGTCAAATATCAATCAAATCGTTGATTTTCAACGAAAATCCCCGTTTGATGCTATTATTACTGATATTTCTTCCATTATTCAAATGGACAAAAAGGGGACAAAGATACGAGACACAATGATGTCATCAATTTACTTAAATTCAATTATGCATACATAGCTTCAATCTTTTTTTGTATTATTGAATGAGAATGAATGCTTTTATTCGTAGAAGTGATGCGCCATAAAGTGTACTTTTGTGCCATTAAGTGCATTGAAAATTTATTAAGTAAAGCTTAATATTTTAACAATTCCTCTCCTTTTCTTCAGAAAAAATATGGATAAAATTTAAAATTTAAATGTTGCATTTCTTGTTGTAAAAAAAAATTTTTTGATTTATTGCGTCAAAATTGCACAAAAATTATTATCGCTTTTTATCATTTCTGCTACATACCAATGAAATTTTTACGTCTCATCTTATGGAATCTTTGAAAATGTAATAATTGTGACATAAATAAATATCCATTCAATAAAAAAAGATAACTCTCAGAAAGTTATCGGGGATTAAAGCTTCCGTTGCCTGAGTAGCGCAGTTGGTTAGCGCGTCAGTCTCATAATCTGAAGGTCGTGAGTTCGAACCTCACCTCGGGCATCCTCGCTTTTGTTCGACGATATAAATTTATAGCATGCGATTGCATATAAATCTTTGACACTTTTTTTTCCCCTTTTTATATTTCACTTGTTCAACTCTTACTTGCTATGTGATATTTCGGAATTGTAATTATGAGGATAGACAGATATAGGTATTAATAGATACAAGATTATCTTATCATTCAATCGATATCTGATCTTATCTCTAACATCCAATCAATATTTGATCTATTTCATTCTAATTCATGCTTAGCGGAAAAGTTTTTAAATGGATTGGCAAAGTCTTCGTTTTTTTTTTGTCAGTAATCTTAGTTTATTTTTCTTGTGGTATTTCTTTGATCAATTAACTTTTCACGTACGTGAGTTTATTGTGCATTAAATTGAATGGAAGAGATGATGATAAGAGAGAAGATAATTTGTTCAATGTTAACATAATGCTTAACAATTTAGTCTTATCATGATGCATTGCTTATATTAAGTAGTTGTATAGAATTTATCACTTTCTGTTTATCTGTAAAGGATTTAATGTAAACTGTCTACACGTGTCACCAAATAAGGACACTCACTTATTTGTCATCTTAGCTGAGTAAATGGTACAATAAAAAAATAAATAATATTTTTCCTAAAATATGTGAACTGTTTACAAACAGTAATAAGGAATTATCCAATATTTTAGGGTAAAATTGTAAACAGAAATACTTTAAGGTAAAAGTATAAATAAAAGTGAAAATCTTTTACCCAATACTTTAAGGGTAAAAAAATGTAAACAGAAATATTTTAGAATAAAAGTGCAAACATATGTATTTTAGGGTAAAAGTGTAAATAGAAATGAAGAAGAAATGTTTAGGGTAAAAGTAAATGGTATCAAATGTTTGATATTTCCCCGAATTGCAGTAATTCGATATTTCCCTCTTTAATATTTCCTCTCCGAACTCTGAACTGTTTTAGTACTTCCAACAATTATTTGCGCTTTTTTTTTTATCAACTAACAATTTCTGCAATTAATAGAAACTTTTAGCAAAATTTTTAAAAGATTTGGAAATTCTTTAAATTCCAATGATCGAAATTATCATTGACATCATTTTTAATTCAGTCAAATGTATTGATAAGATAAGATAAGATAAGGAATGCAACGATATATCAATATCTATAACTGTTACAGACAAAGAAATCGGTGTTATGTAATATAAATACAATCTTTAGGTATGGATATATTAATAGTAGTTATGCTCCTCTATTCATTGATTTCTTCAATGATATTTTTAGAATGTTTCCATTGTTAATCAGTATTTCTCGGGATTTTTATTTGCTTATGGTGTTTCCATTGTTTATCAGTATTTCTCGGGATCCTTATCTGTTTATGGTTACATTTGGTACCATTGTTATATGTAAAAGCACCATTAAAATCGAAATCAGAGGAGATCAGTAAGAAATTACAATGTATTCAGAAAAAAAAAAGTCCCCCTCCTCCCCATCATTTAGGATAAGTTCGATTAAGTGCTTGAAATTTATCCTTGAACTTATCAGCTTATCAGATAAATTTCTTGCACAAATATCTTGGTTACTATTGGTAGAGTGGTTCTCAATCGGTAGTACGCGAGAATTAAAATATGATCCCGGTGAATGGCAAGAAAGTTAGGAGTTCTTATCAGTATTTGATAAATTAATAGTTTGCATTAAAATTTTTTTCAAATTAACAAAATTTATTAAATCTTATAGTCCATGCTGTAAACAAAAAAAAATCAAAATGGTCATTGGTCAAGAAAAAGTTGTGGAAACCATTGTTGTAGTATAATTGAATGGTCACATCAGTGTAACATTATTCTGCAAGCATCGTTGCATGCAGGTCAAACTTTAACCTTACCCATTGAAAATAATCGCTAAATTCTATTTCTAGTTATCCTTCATTAAAGATTTTTCAATGCAAAAAATGGTATGGGATGAATTTGTTAAGTTAATTTTATTGCTTTTTTCAGTACATTTAAGTAATTATCCAAGGTCAACTGACGACAAATTACGTCAAATACGTCAAATAAATCAAGAAAAAGAATCAACGAATAAATTTTATTTTTATTTCGTTTATATTCCAATCATTTCAAGAATAACTTATTAGTTTGTTAATGTGTTGTTCCTTTAAGAAAGTAATTTATTTCACACAACTTTTTTTTTCTTTTTTAATTAAAATAACATTGCGCAAATTGTAATGAATGTATATTAATCAAATTAATACCTAAAAGAAGTTATACTTTTGCTGATTAAATTGAGAAAATGACGAATGAAATCTATCCATCATTTGTTTCTAATTTTTTTTTTTACATATTATTAGAAGCATCTAATCTCAAATAAAAATACTCAGATGATTTTTACTCAGGTAATACTCAGGTGACTTTTATTCAAGTAATGCTCAGGTGATTTTTACTCAGGTAATACTCCAATAATACTCAGGTGATTTTTACTCAGATAATACTCAGGTGTATTTTTTTTCTTTAATGATCCGCCAGAAGTTTTACAAACATTTGTTTAAATCCATTGATGAAATTTGATAATTCTAATCATTCATTCCAGTTATTAATCATATTAGATTCCAATCGATTCATTCCAACTATTATATTGGATTCCAAATGATTCATTCCAGCTATTACATCGGATTCTAATCGATTCATTTCAATTATCATATCAGATTAGTTTATCCATTATTAATTACAACGTCATCATTAGCATCTAAGGAATAGCAAAGACTGATAATCTGGTGGAATCAAATATTGCTTATAACCGATATTTCATTTTATACGCCATCGAATTAACCTGCGACCTTTTTTAAATCATTAATTCTGAATCATTTAATTGGATTTTATTGTTTTTTATCAACTGCTAACTAATTCTTAAGATGATGACAATGTATGTTGCATTAATGTTTGCTTTTTTTTAACAAATAAATTTATGAGCAAAATTGACAAATTTTAACTCAAAAACTTAATTTCAATTTTTTCATTTTGATAAATAATTTTAATTATTTTGATAACTTCATTCTCATTCTTTATGATCATATAATTATATATTAAAACTTTCAAGGGTTTTTTTGTTAAATTTCAAAATTCATCATTGTTTGCAATAAAATGGAACAGCAATAATAATTATCATTATTATTATTATTATTATTATTATTATTATTATTATTATTATTATTATTATTTAATCAACATATCAATGATAATAATAACAACAGTAAGAGTTCCAATCAACAACATCATTATTACCATCAACAACAATAACAACAATAATAACAAACGAGAACGATAAACAAGTTGCCATCGAATCGATGACTCTATCTTACAGTTTGGCATTATGTTGATGATATAAAGAGAAATGATAGTAGAAGGAACCAAAAGACGAAACCAGTTCCGCCTTTAATGATGGACCTTTTACTGAAATTGTTTGCCATCTGTACCACACAACATTTTCATCTACCATCTCATTGTAGTCAGAGGTACCTTTCATTCCGATCGCTGGCATAAACTAATGTTCATCTATCAATCTCATCAATACCAAACTTTTAAAATTAACCATTTATTGTATCACATGAACAAATTACTCCTCTTCTTACTTCTACCATTCTTCATTTATCTTTTATTCAAATTTAAATTTTAAATCAATTCAAATTTAATATTAAAATAATTTAATTTTAAACCAATCAAATAATTAAATTTAACTCTTCTTTTTCTTACTTTTTCCTTCCTTCCTTCCTTCCTTCCTGCACAATATCAAGAAAATTGATGTTATTTTATTGAATAATCAAGTAAAAGTAATATGACAAATGTTTAATTTGGAGGAAATATTGACCAATAGCTATTCTATGTATTAAAAGCAATTTGAAAATAGCCAAAGAAATGACCATAATGACCACATTGAATAATATTGCAATTTTGTTTTCCGAATTCTTATCTTACTTCGGAGAAAAAAAAAGAAACTACCCTACAACTTACGTTTTATTTTCCTCATTTATCTTTTCTTAATTAGTAACTTCTGAAATTCTAATATTTTTCAGGATAATGATTGTATTATTCATCATTCTGATGAATAATAATTCCTGAATTCATTCATAATTTTTATTATTAACAGTAATGAATAATTCAATGTTAAATATCATTAATAATACTGGTATTAATGATAACAATGATGATATGATAGCAATGGATACTTGGGAGGATCGAAGGATATCAATAACACTTCAATATGGTTCATTTAAGGAAGTATTAGTTCTTGAACGAACAAATAATCCACAGGTTATAATTTAATTAATTCCATAATTTCCTTTTTTTTCCCCCTTATCATTACATCTGAATCTTCACATATTTACATGAATTTAATGATAATTTCAAAGGTAAATTCAATCATTCTTTTAGGTAAACCGTATAGATATACTGATATGATAAATGCTCTGAGATATTTTTCCTGGAAAATTTGCAAAAAAAAAAAAAATTATAGCTATCAATAACTTTAACTTATGGGCATTTGAGAAATCTATTGCTAACAATATTTTTCTTTTCAGTAATAAAACTTATCTGCGATATAATTTTAAAGTTTTTTGGTTCATTTTCATTTTTGTTAGCTTATCATAGTTTAAAATGATTTTTAATTTTGTCACCACTGCTCTTACCATTGATTGTAACATATTGTAAATTTTAATAATAAAATTTCAAATTTATTTTTTCAAAATTTAATTTTTTTTCCATTTTTAGCAATTTGAATCACTTTGTGAACGTGCTAGACAAATAGCTGAAAAGCATTATGATGGCAAATTAGCAAGTGGTTGTGAGTTACATCTATTCAGACATGATTATAATTCACCAAATATGCTTCAACATTTAACTTCTATTACACAATTGGTATTTTTTAATATTAATTTATAAATTATCACTCTATCATATCACTCATATCAGTTAACGTAAATTCTCCTCTCGATGGTCCCGGTAAATCTTATTCATGTCAATTGACGTAAAACTTTCTCTGGTAGTTTCGATAAATTTCACAATATTAATTGACATAAATTCTCCTCCGATAATTTTGGTAAATCTCATTCATATCGATTGATGTAAATTCTCTTCAAGGTGGTTTAGGTAAATCTAAGATGTCAAATTGTCATATTGATAAAATATATTACATAAATTTTTATTTCATCCTTTAAATTAATAATTGACTACAAAAATTTTGTTAATTAAAAAATAATTTGAAAATAATGGTAATTAGAATCGGATTAATTAAATCAATTGTTAATTAGAGTCAATTTGAGGATAATGGTTGTATTGTGGAAATCATTTTAATTGATCGTAATGAACGACCAACACGTCCTCATGTACTTGCTGTTACATCATATATCACTCCAACATTTTGTGATTATTGTGGTGAAATATTAGTTGGCTTAATTAAGCAAGGTTTACAATGTGCTAAATGCAGGTAATTAATTTTTTATATATTAAAAAAATTTTTTTTATTTTATTCCCATAAATATTGAATTTTTTTTTTAAATATTAAATTTATCAAAAAATCTTTTTCGTTTTTTTATTTTTCAAATATTAGATTTACTAATATTGTTGACATTTTTGAATTTATTTTAAAAAAAAGAAAAAAATTTAATATTTGCAGATGTAATTTTCATAAAAAATGCGCATTTGCGCCAAGGAATAATTGCGCTAAAAATAATCAAACAGCAATTCTTCCAAGTACTGCTACCGCATCAACAGGTATATATCTACATTTTCCTTTTTTTTTTTACAAAAACAAGGAGAGAAAGAGAGAGAGAGAATTGATCTGCTTCAATTTAGATATGATTTCAATTATATGTATGTGTATGTGTAGGAATAAGTGCTATAAATGATTTATAATTAGTACTATTTAAATTAATTACCGTTATTTATGGGATTAATTATTGTTATTATGGAATTACCAATTAATTACTATTATTTATAGATGATCTTCGTTGTCAACAAGATGCTACATTTGCATTACCACATACATTAGCTGTACATAATTATAAAACACTTACAATTTGTAAAGTATGTGACAAAATGTTAATTGGCTTAATGAAACAAGGATTACGTTGTCGTGATTGCAAGGTTTCATATTATTTTTCTAAAAATTATGAACGAAAAAAAAAAAGAATTATGCAAAAATTGTAATTTAAAATTTAAAAACTTTTCAAAATGTATTGTTTAGTTTTAATTAACTACTATTAATTTGCTAATTATTTGAATTGAAAAAGAATGAAAATTCCTAAAATTTCAATATTTTCTTTTCTTATTTTGAAATTTTATATGAGTTAATTTTAGGTTAATGTTCATCGAAAATGTGCTTCATTATTACCAATGAATTGTCAAATTGCTGATGGCGCAATAACACCATCATTTGATCAATTAAGTGTTGATGATGATACATCATTACTTTCAACAGTCTATGATGAAGCAGCAACAATAATACATGAAGAAAATGATTCAATGATACCACTTGCACGATTACCAGGTTTTTTTTTTCTTTTTCTCATATTTATTTTACACGTATTTCACGTATATTTCACGTAACAAATGTAATTTATACTAATTACATTTATAAAAAATTTAAAGGACAAGCATCAACACGTATCACTAATCGACAGCCAACAGTTGAAGGCTGGATGATTCATTTCATGCTTGATCAACCAGAACGACGTCTACGACATTATTGGATTCTTACCGGTGGTGCTATTAATATGTATAATGAATATAATGAAGGTAATGAAATTTTTTAATTAATTACAAATTAAATTTTATTTTAATTCATTCAAATAATTTGAATACATTCGAAATTTTTATTATGAAACAAAAAAAAGACAAAAAAAAGCGCATTAAATTAAAATTTTCATTTTTAAATTTTTTTTGTTGACATTAAATTAAATTTAAAAAAAAAGTTTATTGAAATAGGTGTAAATCCACATCGTATTTATCGAACAATTCCGCTTGGTGGTATAATGGTTTTAACACCATATAATGGACCACCTGTACATTCAAGGTTTGGCTTATTGATGTATTATGAAAAATTGAAAATGTTAAATTTAAAAGTTATTGAATGAATTGAAAGTAAAATGCATGTGACATATCAATTCCTTGAAGCTATTTCCATTTGATGATTTATTTTTTTATGTTTTCTTAAAATCTAAAAGTGCAACAATGTGGAATAAATATGTGAAATGTGAAGTGCATCTATTCTTATCCGATCATTTTATTTCTTATTTTTTCTTTTTTTTTCACATTTTATTTCTTCAGTTCAAAATTACTTTGCTAATTGTTAACTTCTTCCTTTTTTTTTTGAAAATTAAAAATTTTTAAATTTTACTTTTTTTTAAAAAAAGAAATTCAATTTGAAAATTCTTTTTGTAATTACGAACAAATCATTGTTCATAAATATTTCTCATACATGAAATTTGATGATTGTATCATCCATAATAATACAAATTCAAATTTAATATTTCAAATTAAATTTTTTATAAAATTTTGCAGCTTTCCTGCTCATTGTTTCGAAATTCGTACAACATCACATATGGTATATTGTGTGGGTGAAAATTTAGATTTATACAGTGCGCCACCATCAAAAGTACCACGTCATACAAATGGAAAAAGTAATTCGAATGCGCAAATGTGGTTTCAGGTGATCATTTCTTATCCTAATTTTTTTCGAAAACTTTTAAAATTTAAACTTTTTAAAGGGATTCGATTCTTTTTTTTTGTTTTGGATATGATTTTCTTTTTTTTTTTTTTTTAACGATGATATAGAAAGATGGAAAGATGTAGATGTCATCTGGATAGATGACATTTGAATGTTGTTAGCATTTGTAGGCTTTACAACAAGCATTACGTCCACCATCATCAAGAAATGATTCATCAAATACAGAACCAGCTTTGCAGTTTACCGAATTATATCAGGTTCATTTTTTTTTAATTTTAAATTTCAAAGCTGTAAAATTTGGTGTACTTTTTTCCTTTTAACTCATTTTTTATCAGTTTCAATAAAATTTCGACAAATTTAAAAGTTTTCCTATTTCAAATTTGGTACGAATTAAAGGTTGACGTAATTTTTTTTTTATTACCAGATTTTGGGTGATAAAACGCTTGGATCTGGACAATTTGGTACCGTTTATGCAGGTGTTCATCGACAAAGTGGACGTGAAGTTGCTGTAAAAGTAAACAATTTATGATAACTTTAAAAATTTTTTCAAAACTTTCATCATTTTTCTTTAGCCTAATTTTATGCCTAAACTTTTATTGTTTACAATCATTTTACTTACTAGTGATAATAAATAAAAGATGACACTGATTGATTGATTGGAATTATCACAAATATTTCAGCCATGAAAACTTGATAACATTGTTAGTTGTTAAGGAGAAGAGAAGTATGCTTAGATAAGATAACTTATCAAATAATCACTGCTATTTGATAAGTTACAGTTATAGCTTACAAATGATTATAAATAAAGAATAATATTGATTAATTTAGTTCTCAAAATTAAAAAGAAAAAAAATTTTTTCTCTCAAAATTATAAGAGATTGAGAAATTTTAAGGTAATAGCAAAAGATCGTTTTGCAAAAAAATCATCAGCTGGAGTGGAAACATTACGAAGTGAAGTTGCAATTTTGCAATCAATTAGCCATTGTGGTATTATCAAGCTTGAATCAATGTTTGAAACAAAGGATAAAATTTTTGTAGTAATGGAAAAGATGAATGGTGACATGTTGGAAATGATTTTAAGTCAGGTATGTATGTTTGACAAATATTGTCATCTGTATCTGTGGGAAAGAAGTTTGATGAATTTGAATAAATTATAAATTAATCAAGAATTGTCATTATCAAAATTATCATCTATCTTTGGATGATTAGAAAATCTACGAGAATATTATTAGCATTATATCAAATAATTTGTTGATCACGAGAGCAATGATCAAACTTATTATCGCTTATTTAACAACAATAAATTGACAATCGAATATTGTACGCTCTTCTTAGCTCTTTTTTCTTTTTTGTTTTTAGGCTGCAGGTCGCCTGGATGAACGAGTTACCAAATTTTTGATCATGCAAATTTTATGCGCCCTGCGATATTTACATTCAAAGGGAATTGCACATTGCGATCTCAAACCTGAAAATGTCCTATTATCTGATCTCGTTAATGCTTTCCCTCAAACAAAACTTTGCGATTTTGGCTATGCTCGATTTATTGGTGATGCTCAATTCAGGTTATACCATATTACATTTAGGAATTTAATCAAATAAAATAATACTCAAAAGTTTTATCCTAATTGAAATACTGCTTTAAAACTGTTAATTAACTGTAAAAACAATCGAATTAATTATGCTACTAATATTTATTAATTCGTATAAATTAGTTTTTCTAATCATGGTTTTATGAGATTGAAGAAAAGAAAATTGTTGTATTGTGATAATTTTAGGAAAACGATTGTTGGTACTCCTGCTTATTTAGCTCCAGAAGTTCTTCAAAAACGAGGTTAAATTTGAAAAAAAAAAGAAAAAAGACAGTTTTATTCATTTTTCTAAATTATCACTTCTTTAATTACTATCAATTATAAATTTTCAATTACGACTGTTTAATTATGAATTTTCAATTGCGAATTTTTTTTTTTGAAATTATAAATTGTGAATTTTTTCACTTCCCGAAATTATCATTTTTTCTATTACTATTAATTATAAATTTTCAATTACGACTTTTCAATTATGAATTTTCCTTCTTTTTTTTTCTTTCAAATTACAAATTAAAAAATTTCTGGATTAATTGCTCCCGATTTTTCTTTTTTGTTTTCCACTTACACATACCAATAACTTATTTATTTACTTTTAATATTTCGATATCAATCGATAATTTTCCGGATTATTCATTCCGTTTTTCTTTTTTAATCACATCATTACAAAATTAGATTTGATATTTTTAGGTTACAATAAATCACTTGATATGTGGTCTGTTGGTGTGATAATTTATGTAACATTAAGTGGTACATTTCCATTTAATGATGGTGAAGAAATTGCTGAACAAATACAAAATGCTGCTTTTATGTTTCCAACAGTACCATGGCAACAAATATCACATGAAGCTATCGATTTAATACAAAGATTACTTAAAGTAAAGGTAATAATTATTACATTATGCTAATTAATATTTCAAAATTATCATAATTTCTTAACATTTTCCCATTTATTATTTACATAATCTATGTTACAATTCGTTGAATAATTATTTAATTATCCGACTAATCAATTAAACTATTCCAATACTTGAAAATACTTACATTATGTTCTATCATATGTTAATGCTTTTCTTTTTTTTTCGTTAAAATATGTAAAATGTTGAATTTTAATTTGAAATAGTAACTTATTGAAATTTCATTTCCAATAATAAAGTATGTTAGAAAAGAATAATTGAATAGTTGAAATTTTCAGATTGAGGAACGTTTATCAATTGATGAATGCATAAAGCATGAATGGCTTGATGAAGCACAAGTTTACATGGACTTAAGACGATTGGAATTACAATTAGGTGGTGAAAGATATTTGACAAATGCAGAAGATGATGCTCGTTATGCTCATCATCTGACCGATGGTCAAGGTATTATACCACAACAGCAGCACATCACTCCATCATCATTGATTTAAGAAATTTTGTTGTAAAGAAAAAAAAATTCATACAAAGAAATTTTATCATTCAGTATGTTATCACTGATAAGATATGGGAAGTTTTATCAGTTAGCTTACTTTGAAATTCTAAAGGTAATAATGGAATTTAAATTACAAAAGGATAATATGGAGAATTTGAATAATTTCATCCTCTCATTAGCAATCAGGATAATATGCGGAAGAGAAAAATTATTTCACTGATATATTTTGTCGATATTTAATGGTTCTCAACCTTCTCTTAACCAAATGACCATTATGGGTTTATTTATTTGTAACAAAGACTATAAGGTACAAAAATCCTGTTAAATTTAAAAATAAACTTTCTGCAAAATTTTAAATGTACTAGTTTATACATTGATATGAACAATTACCGCCTATTTTCCATTTATCACACCGCCAAATTTTGTGAACCATCGGTTGGGAACCATTAGCTGCTATATATAAATAAAAGTTTTCTCTTTTTTTTGGTACAATTTTTATCTAACATTTAAAGTTGAAATCATTTCGGTGGTGCAAATTCAAACGATGTTAGGAAAGTTATGGTAGAAATATTTTGAATTCGAGAAATCCATAAGTTCACTTCATTTTTGAGAAAACTTTCTTCATTTTCAGCCATTATTTGACTCAATTTCTTACGTATGTTTTATAGTTTATTTGAAAATAATTTCAATTGCACAATTTTCTTTCTTTTTTTTCTGCGTTTCCGGAATTTTCGAAAACATTTTAAAAATGTCTTATTATATTTATTTAAAAAACAATAAAGGTTTTCGAACGATTTTCCACTTTTTGTTTTTTTTATAATTTGTATTTTTTTATAATATGAAAAAGTATTTATTGAATTGTTTGAGTAATGCCGCAACGGAACACATTTCGCGCAGCGGAGCACATTCCGCGTCAATAATGATGAATAAGCGGAAGAATACAAATATTCTAAGAGCTTGAAAAGCCTAAAACGATGAATTGAACCTATAATCTTGACAAATATTTTTGTCCATTCAATGCATTTTCCGCATTTTGCCACATTTCCTCTTCATTCCATTCTTTTCACCAAATTTATTTGAAGAAAAGAAAAGAAAAAAGAAAGATATATTATTATGGAATGAATGAATGGTTGTATTTGTAAGCCTAGCAAATAGCAATAATATCAGGAAGAGATATGGCCCAGAAACAAATGAGGGCGGAAGGCTAAACTTCAACTCCATTTCTGTCATACATCCAACTGTAAGAATGAAATGAAATGATTAAATTGTTCCCAGTATTTCCCTTTTTCAGTATTATATGGCCTAGTACCAAAAAGCAACAATTAGTTAGCTGTTTTAACTTTTTTTTTAGACAAATTTTTTCACTTTTATTTTTGAAAATTATTTTATCTTTGTACTTTTGATTTCCTTAACTTCTAATGGTATTTTCAATAAATTTAGCTATGAAATTTATTTTATCATAAATATTTTTATCAAAAATAAAAAAAAACACTACGGATTAAGTAAGCTATAAATTGATACTTTGAAAATATTTGTAGTTCGACATTCATCGAAAACTGAGAAGTTTGAATCCATTTTTCCGTTATTCCGGGGCGGTGACAAGTTTGAGCATTCCGTTCAAGTTGAACGGAAATATCATTTCAAAATGTGTCACATACATTTATATAGGGAGGAAAATAATGGATTGATATTGAAATGATTCATTTTATGATCATCGATCAGAAGAAGTAAATTCCCTTCACCAATTTAAAAAAAAATTGTGGTAGTGCATTGTTTGCAATGCTATAAAACATTAAAGTATTAATTTACCGCCAATTTTTGCATTCCTTTCATAATATGAAATTTGTAGAAATGTCAAAGGTCACAAAAATTAATTGCTAAATAACTTAAATATAATTTTGAATCTTATATTTTTAAATAATTGTTTACATAATTATACTTGTAAATTTCAAATTTCATCTTAAGTTGTTATTTAAATTAAAATATAAAAAAATAGCGATTGTTTTCTTCTTTCCTTTTTCTTTTCCGGCATATATTGGAGGATTTTAAATTATGGGAAATTGTTAAATTTGTTAATCTTTCATAATTATGTCATCAAAATTCATTATTCATCATATTTGACAATAGCATCTCATCGCATACGTCTTATATTTTCACTTATATCAGATACGATATAAATGTAATTGTACGTACGTACGTGAACTCACGTAAATTAAGTAAAGAATTTGGTACACAGTGAGAGAATATATTTCGTGATTTTATTCCTGTTTTGATTTGAATCAAATATGCACTCATTTATTCATATTAGATCAACATCATTCATCATCATCATCACCATCATTATGATCATCATTATCACCACCATCATCATCATCATCAGCATCATTAATAGCTAATTGTCGGAGTGGAAATTAAATGTAGAGATATGACGGAAAAATATGTATTAAAAAAAAAAAAAATGAAACTTTAATCGAAATAATATTTCTGTACATAAATATATATATATATATGTATGTATATACAACCAACATAAAACAAACTGAGATTTTTTAAAAGATTTGAATATTTCATAAAATTTGTTTCACTTTAATATGGTAAATAATTTCATCAAAATTTGTTAAAAATTTAAAAAATCTTTCAATAAATGAATTCTTTCTTATTTCAAATTTCAAGTATTCAAGTAAATCAATTTGTTCCTTTTTTTTGGTTCGTTATTAAAGATGACAAATTAAATGAACAATCAGAAAGGAGTGATAATTTAAATTGCAAAATGGTCATGAAATGAATTGTTTAGTTTAAAGCAATCAGATGTAATGCAAATAAATTGATGCACAAACATTAGCAAAGTAAAGTAAAGTAAAATAAAGTAAAGTAAAGTAAAGTAAAGTAAAGTAAAGTAAAGTAAAGCGACTTTCATAAAGTTGAAGAATTAGAGTTTAAAAAAAAAAAATCCTTCCTTTATTCCACCAAATACATTTCCCGAATTGCTCGAAGTTAATCAAATAAAAAAAAAAAGGAATCGGAAAACTGGTTGTATTACTGGATAATGTTTTCTTTTGTTTTTTTTATCATTAAAAACTGGTTCAATATTTTCGTAATCATATCACTAATCTAATTTTATATCATTAAACTTGAATTTTCAATTTTCCGATCCTTTCTTTTCACATCTTCTCTACTGTCACTTCCCTCCTATTACATTTCACTGATATTGCTTCAAAAATTGATTTAATTAAAAATAAATAAAAAATCAAAAATAAAAAGCACAAAGAGAAGGCAGAAAAATTATTGTAAGAGCAAGAGGAGATCATTTACCGGTATTTATCAGGAAGGCATAAATGAATGAATTCGAAAATTTTCATCAAAAATTAATTAATTGATGAAATTTAACGATGGAAGAAATTATTGATAAATTATGAAACATATCAAAAATTCCAAAATTACTCCTTAATTTTATTCCTAAATCATTTCAATCTGTTTTGTCCGGTTTAATTTTCACTTTTTCATTATCCTACCTTAGATCATTCCAGTGCTTTCATATATACATGCATATATGTATGTAATGTACTGGAAATAAAATATTAGCCTTAGCAGGTAACGCTTAAAATACGAAAAATTCATTGGTCAACATCAAATGAAAGTAATGGACAATGGCTATTCAAACATTAATACATCAAAATTACTGTAAACTGAAAAAATATGCAAATTTCAGGAATGAAATATAGTAAAATAACTGCTTCATTTGATGTTTCAATCATCATTTCTCCTCTCAATATTCATAGTAAAAGTTAATTTTGTATTATTAAGGATGAAAGTATAAAAGTATTGAAGTGAAATTCCTCGAACAGAAAAAAAAAAAAATTCGTAAACCCGTATTAAGTGACATGCATATATGTATATGTAAAATGAAGTACATCTATGATAAGATTATTAGAAGTGATGTTATCATTTATCAGTGATGATAAGATCACTGGTAAATGTTCCGATTTGTAGTAATCTGAATGAAATTTATTTTTATATACTATAAAGGCTATAAGCTAAGATCAGAGTGCTATTATCGCTTAATATATTTCAAAATTATTGTAAATTGTAAAAATATGCAAATTTGTTTGGTCAAATAAAAAGAAGTGACATTATAATTTGTCGAGGAATTTCATTAGTACTATAAATAAACTTTTTTAACTTTATAATCCCGTGGTAGAGTACTGTTATTCAAACATGTTACATAATTTTTTTCCGTAGAATGTTTTGGTGTCGTAAAACCGGAATTAATATTACTACCGGTATTTAAAAATGGTGTACCATTTTGAGGTATACCAGAAATCAATGATACAGCATCTTTTCCAGATGTTACACCATAAACATGCTCCAATTTAGCACCAGCTAAAGAATCATGACGTGTTAATCGAGCACGTCCATACGAATCATAACTTCCTTAAATGAATAAATTTAAAATAAAAATAAATAATCGAAATTAAATTAAAAAAGATAAACAATTGATTAAACAAAAAATAAATAAATAAACGAAAAAAGTAAACAAAAAGATAAACAATCAAACAAAAAAGATAAACATTTAATAAATAAAAAATTTTTTGTAAATTTTTGATAAAATTAATTTAAAAGAAAAAAAAAGAACATGTCTAAATCATAATTAAATTTATTAACCAGTAGAAGAAGTGGATGAATGATGTTGACCATCTTGTATCAATCTCCATCTGGACAATCGATAGCCAGCAAAAAAACCACATGCTGATGCAATAACCATTGTTATTAAAACAGCAATAACAAGTCGTTCACTACCGAAATTAGCCGTTTTATCATCCGATGAGGTGACACGTTCGGAATGTAACTCTAAAAAATAACTTCGTTGACATCAGTAATGTGACATTTATTCTTGGACAAGACATTAAAACAGGCGATAAATGAACAAAAAAGGAAAATATATATAAAATGGAATATGCACAATTTCTTTTATTTTATTTCACTTTTTCTTTTTTTTGAAATTATTTCTGAGGTTTTTGCGCAATTATTTAAATCATTTTAATTAATTTAAATAAGAATCCTTTCATTCTTACCATCAATTGCATAGTAATCAGGGTTAATAGCACCTTCAGGACATTGTTCTGATTGTCCGAGAATTATATTTTGGACAAAATTTTCGCCTGACCATGTACTTCGACCAATACAACGTGCACTATCTAAATCCCATGCACAGTGTGCATCTTGCAAATGCACGCAACCTGCACAATTTCGTTGTTCTGAACAGTATTCCAGTGGTATTGCAGCAATTTCGTCTGAACTGACCACAATTAACTGCAAATTCATGAATGTTTAAAATTGCGACATAAAATCTTTTAAGTTTTTTTTTTCAAATCTTTGCTTAAAACTTATAATTAGTCGAAAATTGTCATCCTTTGTTATCAAGTTAAATTAGTCAGAAATTATTGTCACCTTTGGTTATTAAGCTAAATTAATCAGAAATTATCATCCCCTGTATCATCAAATAAATGAGGATGGGAAATTTTATGACAAAAAGAAAAGTTTACAAAAAAAAAAAATGCAATTCTGGCATGTAATATCATATTTAGTTTGTAAGAAATTACCTGTTCATTAGTAGCCATTAAATTAACAATTGGTAAATTTTTGGCGAAAACTTTCACCGATTGAACGATTGTGGTAGGACCATCTTGAGGATCATAAAGTTTTAGGACACGTCCATCTGACGTACCAATGTATAATGCATTATGTGTTACACCTTTTTTAACAGAATGAACCTGTGGAATAAGTAAAACTATATGAAGGGGATATTTGTCATAGATGATCAATAATTAATGGATTATTATTAATTAAACTTGGTTTGATTTTCACAAAATCTAATTAAATATTTCAAATTCGATTCATTAATTAATCATTTCGTTTCTTCCATTTTTTTATCAGATAATATCTATTATTTTTGCTATTAGAAATTGAATTTAATAAGAAAATATTTATTTTTTAAAGTTTAAAAAAATTTCATTTAAAAAAATTTTAAAAGAAATTAAAATCTAAAAGAATTCTATTTTGTACACATCAAAAAAAAGGAAAAAAGATTTAAATTATTCTTTTGTTCATATCATTTTTTTCCCGAAGTCTTTCAATAATTTGTGAAACTTTGAAATGAAATAATAAAAGAGTTTCCGGATGAAAGAAATTATAAAAATTTAAACACAACCGGATAAAATCCGATTATTTCAATAAAATAAATTATGCTTACTATAAGGTATATTCAACAAAGAGAAACACACTCTATGAACATATCATAATAGCAAATAGATGCAGCTTTTTAATCTTTTAAAGTTCATTTTTTCGAATCTTTTTTTCATATTTCCTAATTTTTTGTTACAAATAATAAGTGATAAGTGATAGTCAAATGATAAGCGATGGTCAAATGATAAGCGATAAGCGATAAGCGATAGTCAAATGATAAGTGATAAGTTTTAATCAAAAATTAAAAAATGGTCATCATCAAAAAGAAAATCACAAACTTTTGGTGAAACAGCAATCTGTGTAAATGATGCACGTTCAGGTCCTTGAACAAGGATTGGTCTTGAATGTATTGCAGGTACTGCTTCATGCATTAATGGATTGCGTGCAATAAATGAAACAATATTTTCCGATAGTTTTGATGAATCTGTAACGCACTGAAACAAAAACTAATTACAGTATATGAATTGTAAATGATACAATCATATTCCCGAGAAATACTCATTATGATATGAGTATAATCATATTCCCGAGAAATACTCATTATGATATGAGTATAATCATATTCCCGAGAAATACTCATTATGATATGAGTATAATCATATTCCCGAGAAATACTCATTATGATATGAGTATAATCATATTCCCGAGAAATACTCATTATGATATGAGTATAATCATATT